CCGTCTTGTGGGCAAAATTTCTACTTTTTTAGGGGTTTCGGGACCTAAAAACTAACACCAGAGGGAAAATAAACCACATACGTTTTTTTCATGGTAAATATCGCTAAAATGGACCAGGCATTTTTCTGCCGCGTTGCCGATTTTGACAAGGACTTGCGGCCGCCATGTGCTAAATACGTCGATTAGCTACTCGCCTTCCCCTTCGGTTTTGTGGGCAAATTTTTGCTTTTTCAGACGTTTTGGGACTTAAAAATGGACAGCAGGCGAAAAATAAATAATATACATTATATTCATGGGAAATGCCGCTATCATGGACCAAATATTTATCTGTGACGTGTTGCCGAATTTTGCGGCCGCCGGCCACTTGCTGATGGTGCGGTACGTACGGACAATTAAACGTACCGTCCCTAATAAGAATGTACCGGGTGGACGTTCGGGCCGAAAAAAATAAACGTACCGGTACGTTTAATCGGGACATCAGAGTAAATGAGTTCAAGAACCATATTGCACACGAGTGGAAGAACCACCAGGATATGTACAACTACACCTTTACGTACTGAACACAGGAGTAGAACTGCTACCGCCGAAATTACCCGAAGTGCGGTCTCATTACCCACACAGGGTACCTATTGACCGGCTACAGGTGAGAAATACAGGTGAGAAATTGAAAAGCTTGTTCATTCCATTTTTGGACACATGAAATCCTGTTTGTAAAGGGTAAATATTTATAGTGTCAACCACTTGTAATTATAACAGTTTCCAAACACTTTGCACCAAGTTTACAAATGCAGTGTCAGATGAAGTGGTTCAATTTTTTCGTTGTTACTATCCATGTTTTATGTTACGCGGTCACCATGTGTTGTTTTTGTCAAGGTCTTCATCAGTTTTAAAGTAAAGAAATTTTTAAAAAATTGTTTTAATCACAGTTCTTTATGAATGGCGTATGCTGTCTAGCAACCAATATTTTCTTAATCAATGATTAAAAATTCACATATCACTTGGATTTTTTGAGTGCTTTATTCAGTTGTCTACAATGTGTAACAGGGCTGATAAGAACCTGTACATATCTTTCCATAGAATGACACAGTTATCTGTGTCCTGAGGGTCAGCTAACTGTGCAGGTGTATCTGTCCTGATGAGATGAGACTTGTGATGACAGTTACCAGACAATCGGATACAGAAGTATCAGGCCAGGTGAGAAAAATCTGAATTGTATTACCTACCATTTCATTGGTGTTATTTGAAACAAGTGTGTAACTTAAAATGTTGTATAGTTAGGTGGCTGCTGACGTCTATGTAGTAGTGATGTCTCCTGTCTGAATCTGTGATTTGAAGACCCCAGAGGAATATCAGGTGAGAAAAATCTTAATTCTGCAAGACCATTTGTAATTGGTGTTTTTAAACAAATATGTATTTTTTACATATAATGTTGTATAGTTAGGTGGCTGCTGACTGATGGTGACTCCTGTCTGAACCTGACAAGAGAAGATTGGACCAGACCAGACCTGGTGATTTGAAGACTGCAGATGAATATATTAAAAGGTGAGAATTCAGATTTCTGTATTTTACCTACGTACCATTTTACTTGGTGTTATTTGAGTTGTGTAACTTTGTAATGTTGTATAGTTAGGTGGCTGCTGACTGATGCTGACTCCTGTCTGAACCTGACAAGAGAAGATTGGACCAGACCAGACCTGGTGATTCAAAGACTCCAGATGAATATCAGGTGAGAAAAGTCTGAATTCTGCAATATACTTACCATTCATACTTGGTGTTTTTAAAACAAATATGTAACATATAATGTTGTATAGTTTAGGTGGCTGCTGACTGATGCTGACTCCTGTCTGAACCTGACAAGAGAAGACTGGACCTGACCAGACCTGGTGATTTGAAGACTCCAGAAGAATATCAGGTGAGAAAAATCCTAATCCTGGAAAATATTTACCATTTATACTAACTTGTTTTTCTTTTTTGGAAACAAACATGTAACAATATAATGTTGTATAGTTAGGTGGCTGCTGACTGATGGTGACTCCTGTCTGAACCTGACAAGAGAAGATTGGACCAGACCAGACCTGGTGATTTGACTCCAGATGAATATCAGGTGAGAAAAGTCTGAATTCTGCAATCTACTTACCATCTGTACTTGGTCCTTTTTTAAACAAATATGTAACATATAATGTTGTATAATTAGGTGGCTGCTGACTGATGCTGACTCCTGTCTGAACCTGACGAGAGAAGATTGGACCAGACCCGGTGATTTGAAGACCCCAGAAGAATATCAGGTGAGAAAAACTGATTTCTGTATTTTTTCTACCATTTACTTGGTGTTATTTGAGATAAGTGTGTAACTTTGTAATGGTCTTTAGTTAGGTGGCTGCTGACTGATACAGTAGTGATGTCTCCTGTCCATAGCTGTCAACATTTGGATGTTGGACCAGACAAAAGAACAAGATACAGAATCCACAGGTGAGACAATGCATATGACTTTTAATTAGCACTTCTCAACTTTCTTTCCCTTACTATAAATCTCACATCTCATGAAAATAACAACCAGTAACAAATAAAAGCACGTATTACTAAGTAGTCTTCTAACTGATTTTGTTGTCTATAGATTATATATTTGAATGAATTGTTTGATCAAATAAATAGATAACAGTGACTTAGTGCACACTGTTTGTGCAGTTTCTAGGGAGGCAAAGCAACATGTCAAGTACAAGTGTTCATCATTTTTACACATGGTTGCTAGTGGTAATTATTCTTGAACTAATTATACTTTTTACTTACTAATAGGTGTCCTGATGTTCCTATCCTAACTTCTGTACAAACCAGACCAGTTGACTTGAAAGTAGTACGGTGAAGAGAAGAGTTTGTACAGGTGAGATAGTGCTTTAGAACACACGATTATCATGACACACTACCATGACCAGAAACAGGTTTTAACTTGAAACACATTTCTATAGCCTAACACCTCCTACAGTGACAAGCATATAAATTGTTCAATTTTATGATATCATTAGCTTTTATGTTCATTCGGCATTGCTTGGAGATTCTTTTTTTGTATCACACTAATTATTCTTTCACACTAAGGCTTCACATCTTTCTAGTCCTGAGAGTCAGCTGTAACATGTTATGGAAATATTCTTTGGCATCACACAAATATTCCTATGATATTTAGTTGTCCTGATGTTCCTGTCCTGGCTGGGAGAAACCTGTGATGATGTCCATCAGCTCCTGTACAAACCAGACCAGATGAAGGCACTGAAGAATATAAACATGAAACATGTACAGGTATTATGTATTTCATAACATATATCCTAATTTCAGCAAGGGTGCAAGTATAGACAGCCAACATACATAGTATTTTCACTGGTTTTCTTTGTTGTGAATGTTATGAGGATGAACTCACATAGGATAAATTAGGGGATCTAGTTTCTTAAATTACTTTCAGTGAATTGCTGTAATGCCTGGCAGAAAAGAAGAAATGTATACATGCAAGTGTTGATTGTATTTAGCTGGTTGATCGTTGTTGCTATGCATTAATTATTTTTTCATGCATAGGTGTGTCTTGATGTTCCTGTCCTGACAGGGAGAAACCTGTGATGACGGGTGACTTCTGTCTGAACCAGACCAAATGAGTGGTCAGCAAACCTGTTACCTTGACACCTGTGAAGTGAAGAGTTTGTACAGGTGAGACATTGTGCTCTAATCTTCAATCATTATCATGTTCCTTTTTCATACTTTCTTTGGTGTGTTATGAACTCTAAAACATGACATACTGCCAGTAACATCTTTAAAACACCCTAATTGCTTTTTAATAATTTCACTTTCTTTTTACGTTCATTCATAGTTGCCTGATGATCCTGTCCTGACTGGGAGAAACCTGTCCAAACCAGACGAGATGAGTGTTAAGCAAACCAAGACACACTGAAGTGAAGAGTTTCTACAGGTGAGATAATGGTTTACGACTTATTTTGTATACATTGTATTAAGTAATTTTTGTTTCTTTTGTTTCTAGGTCATAAGTTAGAGGCATGACGTGCCACCAGTAACACCTAAAAAACACTCTAAGCTTTTCGTTCGCATGACGAATTTTATCATTCTGTTTTAGAGTCGTGCAATGTTGCGTGGAAATGTTTTTTGGATATCACACTCTTCTTTACAACATCAGGTTTGTTCCTGTCCTGACTGGGAGAAACCTGTGATGATGGAAAAGCAAACCAAACCAGACAAGAGCTGGCGGGTTCAGCAAACCTGAAGACACAGTGAAGAGAAGAGTTTGTACAGGTGAGACAATAACTTGCATGTTCCATTCTTCTTTGATGTGTTAAGACGCATATTACAAGAGAATCATTAACAAATTTAAAAAGGTCTTGAGCTTAATACTGGAGAGTGTGCAATTTTGTTTTGGGGCTGAAAATGATGAGATGTTGTGGACTGAGCAAACAATTGCTACATCTGAGCATTTGGAATTATAGTAAATTGTCTTTTGTACATACTTTGGATTATTAAAGCTTGTATAAACCTGTAAGTTGTGTGACATAATTTTCAGTGCTACTTGGTCAATTGCTGTTTTCAATACACTGACTTCTGTTTCTCTGTCTTCAAGATGTGAACTCGGAAGACCGGAATGAGCGGGTGGAACAATCAGTTTTATCGGCCGAGCTGTGTGAAAGAAGATGGGGAGGTGTGAGTATGGTTTCTTTATTAACACGAGACAACACTCCACATGCCACTCGCATTTCTCTCTATCTCTTTTGCCCAGTTCTCTACTCTGAGGGTCCATTAAATGTTTATCGCAGCCAAATTCTGCAACAAGTATCCTGAAAAAACCTTCGGATTGCGTAGTTGAATAGGCCTAATTGCCCCAAAATTTGCCCCAAAATTTTCCCACCAAAAAAACTATCTAACTGAAAAGTTGTGTACAGTTGAATGTGCCAACTTTACCAAAATCCTTTGAACATGTAGTTGATTGAAGTTTTTGTGCCAAACAACTTAATATCTTAGCCAGCCGCTTAAATTCGCCCAGCCCCTTGCCCCAAAATTGTCACTTGGACCTTAACACTTAAAATCTCCAAAAACGTTCCTGCCCAAAAACTTGACCGCCCCTTTAATTCTTTGTATTGTGTAGTTGAATGTGCCAAATTGCCCCAAATTGCCCCAAAATTGTCGCTTGGACCTTCCCACGTACAATGTCCAAAAACGTTTTTCTGCCCAAAAACTTGACCGTCCCTTTAATTCTTTGTATTGTGTAGTTGAATGTGCCAGATTGCCCCAAAATTGTCGCTTGGACCTTCCCACTTAAAATCTCTGAACACGTTTTCCCGCCGGCCCCTTTCATTCTTTGGTACTGTGTAGTTGAATATGTCAAATTGCCACAAAAACGTCGCTTTGGACCTTATACTTAAATTCTCCGAACACATAGTTGAGTGAAATCTTCCTGCCAAAAAACTTAACCAATATCTTAACCACCCACTGCAATTCCCCGACTCGTTGCCCCAAAAAAGTCCCTCAGACCTTCACACTTAAAAATCATGTTTTTCCACCCATTCCTAGTATCCAAGACAGCCCCTTTAATTCTTTGTGTAGCGGAATGTACCAAATTGGCCCCCAAATTGTTGTTTGGACCTTTTATACTGTTCCCACCAAAACTAATTGG